CAAACCCCACTCCATTCTAGCACTGAAGATGTTACCTAGCCAGGTAACGAAACATTTGCAAGAAAACAACCAAGCTCAGAGAACCCTAAGGACTCTACAAGTCAACCCTGAGCTACATACATTCTCTTCTATTGATATTTACTATTTTTAAAGTTTAATGTTTTTAATTTTGCTGCATACTATATTTTGGAATGCCATGAATGCCTCATTGCTGTCTCCTAATACTGCATAAAGGAAGATTTTTTTCTCTGGCCTGTTGGCTGATAAGTTTCTGTGGGGCTTTTCTGCTATGGCAGTCAACTAAGTTGTATTCCAAAAAAGGCAGAGCAAGAAGCATAATGCCATTTTCCTGTTCAATGCAGTTTCAAATGTGCAGCCACCAAAAATATTTAAATAAGCTCTTTATGTATTAATTTGGCATTAGCATCTGTAAATATGGGAAGCATGAAAGAACTATTACACACATTACATAGACTACCTAAATATTTGAAAAATGCAACCTTGCATATCACCAATGGGCATTCAAACAACATAGGGTTGAGTGAGTTTTCTTTGTCATCCACATAGTGAAGTTTGTTTCTGTGTTCTTCTTGTGTATGAATTGAGTTAGAAGAAAAATCTTGCTCTGTGCTGTGATACCTGAAGTGTTGCCAAATTCCAATGTGATAGATACTTCCTTTAGAACATAAGCTATACAATGTTGCTCTTTCTATTAACTTCTTTGAGAGGACATGTGGCTGAATAGTAATTACAAGGCTCAGAAGCTGCTACACTTCCTAACGTTACTTGGGAGAATTAGTGGCATTATAGTGTCTGAGACTTCTTCCTATATTCTGTTTGTTGTTCTCCTTTCCCCCATTGTAGTTTTGTGGATAGGGGAAAGGAAAGAAAGATAATTTTTGCAATATTGTCATTGTAGTAGATCAGCCTTCTCCAACCCAGTTTTCTCCAGATGCCACAATTCCCAGTCTTTGACCATGTTGGCTGGAAATTCTATGGTACAGCTGGAGAAGACCATTTTATGTCCATGTAAGTTTTACAGAGATGTTATGAAGGACTGCATCCTTTGAAACTCCTTTTCCAATACAAACCTACTTGGTCTTGAACAAAAAGCATACATTTATTCAATGCTTTGTCATGCTGTGTTGCTGAAGTGTCACATAACCAAACACTTCCAATACTGTGTTTTCAGTCACACCTTTGGATGTGGTGAAAATCCGATTGCAGGCTCAGAGAACCCCATTCTCTAAAGGTAAGTAATTGCTCCTTGGTTGCAGGAGGACAAATTTCTCTTATTGTAGAAGTATTCTAACCTACGGAGGCTCTTTGAAGGCTTAAAACCAATCTAAAGTTGAAGAAAACCACATACTTAAAACCAATCTAAACCACAAGAAAACCACTTGTAGCAATTTAGAGTGTAGGTTGTATTGCATATTTATATGGCTTCTCAACCCATCAGAAGTGTTATGTAGGTTCAGATGAACGTCCTGTCTGGTCCACTATGGCAGCAGGAACGGCGTCCTCAGAGCATTCCTATGGTTATCAGAAGACACCTATGGAAAACTCATAAGCAGGTTCATCAGTACAGTAACAAACTCTTGTTTATGTTTCTCAGCAACTCCCTCTGATACTGAGGGTAATATTTTGGCATCATACATGACTAATAGCAGTTGGCTGCTTTACTCTCTGTAAATTTGTCTAATCCAAGTTGATTACCATCATTGAGGCAAATGAGTTAATTATCATTGTGTCCTTTTTTAAAAACTCTGACCCTTGCCTGGAAAAGCTCTCTGCGCATTAAAACAGCAGCACTTTCTTCTTATGCTAGCTTTTTGATGTGGGGCTGCATCTAGATTCCAAAATCATATTCTGCAAGAGAACTGCACTAACTGCTTTTTCTGAATTTGAAGACTAACCTTCAGGAAAGACACTGCTAGTGCCTAAGTGTGGGTGATTTGCGGATGAAGTGTAGCTTTTATTGCAGGTGATCATGCTGAGCAGATTTATAGTTATTATTTATCTCCAGTAGGTCTGGATAAAATTGTTGAAACTTCTCTACAGCTAAGACATAATTTTCTTGTACGTGACTTACTTCAGAGGGGTGTCCTTCATTTGCTGGAAGATTTATATAGATTTTCAGCTCTTTGTATCAGGTATGGGTCACACATTTTCAAGCTCATTGCCATAAGCCACAGTATTTAGACATGAGTTTAGAAAGAAGGAACTTAGCCCGGTAGATGGGTAGAATCATCAGCATCTGTATTTTTCTGCAATCAAAAATAAAAGGGAGAGAGAGAGAAAAAAAAACACCTAATATAATAAATCACATGATTTTCATACTTCCTGCTCCAGCTGAAGCTCCTTAAGAACTCCCCCATACATACACAACTGTTTCTCCTTCCTGATCCCGATTGTCATTAAGTATATCCATGTTGTTTCTTTCAGTGTTGTCAGTACAGTCTATGCCCTGGAGCATTCACCAATCCAAATGTGAGTATTTCAGGTGCTTTCCCAACTAAGGTGCCATGACCACCTCTCTGACTCTTTTCCTGTTCTCACTCCCAAAGGAGTGTTGTAGGTTCTTCTTTCCTCCCCTCCTTCCTCACTCGTATAGGAGAAAATGTTCATATCCTTTATTCCTTGAGGAATTTAGTATTCATTTGTCTGCAGTGGAAAATATATGACAATGCAGCTTTGTTTAATTTGATGCCTCCTTAACGTTTTGGACTACAATTCCAATAATCAACTAAGTCATTTACTGGGATGGCTTGGCATTTGATGATAGGAAGGCACCAGGTCAGGGAAACTGCTGTAACATATTGGCTGGACTGAAAATCAGGAGGTTCTTGTTATGAATCATGGTTCTCCTAGAAACCTCTAACTGGTCTTAGGTGAGCCACTCTGTTATCTTGGATCACATAACTCCAGAATTTCAGAGGCAGGGATAATAATATCCCTTCACAGAATTATTGTAAGGAATGAGACATTTACACACACACACAGACATCAATTGTGATAATATTATTATCAAAAGAATGGGAGAAACCAGGGTTCCAAATTTATTTAAACCATTTTCCAGCCTTCAGCTGAAAAAAACTCCAAATGGCATATATATGATCAGCAAAAGCAAAACTGAAGAAAATAGTGAGGGGAAAAAATCAAACTTGTGCAAGCTCTGAGTTAGAAAGCTCAACGTATAGTGATTGGTCAGGTTATGAAGGTTAGAGAAGAGACTGCAGGTTCATCTGGTAACCTCAGCAATGGCATGATAACTGGAGCAGTGGTAGTTTTAGTTAGAGCTGTAACTGTGCACAGTGGAAGGTTGCTGACTGCTTTGCTTCTCTCTCTCTCTCGTGACCTCAGCAAAATCACTTATAAGCTAATAACTCTAGGGATAAGATGGGAGAAGAGAGTCACAAAGTGCATGCAGTATAGCCCTTCAGGTGGCAGATGAGGGAATAGCTTCTTTGAATATTCTCAGTGGAACGAAGATCTTGCAGTTAAGTACCATGTTGGAAGAAAGGGTTTTATCCAAAGACTTCCTGATTCCTTACCTTTCTACTTCAACTCTTTTTTAAAAAATAATTTTATTAAAGTTTATATATGTAAAAACTAATACAAAACTAAACAACCTGGAGAGGAGAGGAGAGGACTTCTCCCTCCCTCCAAACAAGTATATGTATTAACAGTAACTGAACACCTTCTCTATTATCACTAAAAAGAAACCCTCTTTATTCCCTTTCTCATCCCAAGGTAATAACTGAATTATAAAAATATTCAGCAATCAATCTAATCAGCAAAGGGATTAAGAGTGCCAGTAATAATAAACTATAAATTTTAAGGTATTGTTGAAGGCTTTCACGGCCGGAATACAATGGCTGGTGTGGGTCTTCCGGGCTGTGT